GGGGGGGGGACATTGCATGTTGTTTTGCTTTTAGCACCAAACTTTTGGCTTCCCCATTTTTACATTACCATACAACGAAACAAATAACAGCAGCCAACTGCTTGCACAATGACTTTTCACAATGTTTAACAAAAGGCTATTGAATAAACACATTACGCTTTGAAAAAAAAAATTCAATCACACAGTAGACAAGCAATATTTGCATCTTAATAGTTATGGAGGGAGCACCACCTGATGGAAGACACTGGAAGTACACTGACTACAGCAGAGTCTCACAGCACTCAGTATGTCACTGGCATCTAAGAGGTGAGGGGTGTTTGTACATTTTGTCTATTTGCTTTTATCATCTGAATATAATCTGAGAAAATTGATAAGGGGGCATTCAGAACTCAGCAGTTAATAGTAATTCAAAAAGAGAAACCACTTTCTGCAATTTCATTCACTGAAGCAACTCAGCAGCCCCATTTATATCTAAAAATGAGATCCTTTTATCACTTTGAATAGTAAAGCACAAGTTCAAGCAGACCAAACCCTAGCTTTCCCACTCAACCAACAATGACAAGAGAATATTTTTACCCTGTTCAGCCATTGCTTTCATTACACTTGGACATGGTCAGCCCTTTGCCATTTATCCATCTCCCAAAAATCCCTCTCTCAAAAAAAAGTTTGGAAACATACTTAAAATAGATTTTTCCCTAGGCAAGTGGCTAAATGATTCATTAAAAGTCTAGGATACAGTCTCAATTTGTGCCACTTCCAATCATACACATATTGAAATCACAGTCTAAATACCCATTAAAAACCCCCTCCACGTATGGTTTTACTCATGAAGGGAACCATTTAACAAGGTTACATTTCCCAGTGTTTTTAAGGAATCTAATAGCGTGCACAGTTGCCTAGCAATCTGAACAGCCTACTGTAGTTTTGTTATTAAACAGCACTGGATTAACTTCAACATCTACTTCAAAGCTGAAAGGGGTCTCTTCTACCTGCTGGCCCCTCTTCATGCGACGCTTTCCTTTAAACAATTTTGAAGTGATCCCATTTCTTTGGGCACAGTCAATATTTACTACCTGCCGATATTTATACTTTAAAGGACCCGCACAAGAGTCACTAGTGCTCTCTCAGCCTCTTAGCTAAGAAAACCCTTTCGCAATGCAAGGTGCACTGAACTCAAGTGTCCTGGACACCCATGCTGGAGGACTGGAGTACAAATAGACCTGCATATATCCTCACTAAAGCAAGGGCTGGGCCAGGAAGTTGCTTGTATTCATTTTGTAGTCAAAGGGAAGAAAGACTTTTTGGTTTAGGTTGTGAAGAGAAAAGGAGGTGAGAGGAGACAGGTGTAAATGCATTGATAGAAAGGGAGATGGAGATACATATTCAGAATCTTCTAAGGGGAAACTGCACCCCAAGAAGGACCCAGGAGAAAACACAAATCACTCTCTGCACTTTCTGGTTGATTGATAAGGCTAAGAAAAGCAGCAGACTGGCTCAATAGGCACCACTCATCTTGAAGTCATTTCAACTATGCTTCAAGGAACTGCTGGGGTGGGCAGGAATAGGAGGCTCCTCCTAATGCACACATGGCTCAAGCCGCGGCTTCCTGACGATCAGTGACAGATCCCGACAAGTGCGAACCAAGTCGAAGCATCTCAACCATCCCCAGAAAGTTATTCAAACTTTGGGTTGCCGAGGAGTGGGGGGAGAGAGAGGGAAAAAAGCTGCCACTGAACTTCTGACAGTGTTGTCCGACTTGGGTTGAAAGGTAGAGGACAGCGAGGCATCCCGCGGCGGGACATTTTCCAGATGCTCGGCCCCGTCCTTGCCGCAGAGCAACTGCTCACTATAAAAAGGACGCGGGTGTCTTGAGTCTAAGCAGGAAGGAGATGCTCGCATTGCACACACGCCACAACTTTTAAAGTCCCCTGCTCCCCCCACATCGGCTAGACACACTCACACCTTCCGCGGCGCCGAGCAGACAAACCCGCGGCAGGGCCGAGGCAGCGCCGGCTCCGGGCCGGAGACGCCCCGCGCGCCAGGACTTCGGCCACGATCGCTCCAGGGCGTCGCAGAGACAAGCCTAGTCTTTCCAGCTCACCACCTCCCAGGGGGGACCCCCCCGCCAACCCAGCAGCTTGATATGAAAGGCGAAGGGGTGGGGGTCTAGAAAACGAGGACCCGAAATCCGGCACACTGCACGGCTTGCGGGCTCGACCCGCGAGCAGCGCCCGAGCCCGGGTCAGTCTCCCCAGCACCGAGCAGGCAACTCACCGCAAAAGACAAACTTCAGCAGGGGCAGCATTTCCACGGCCACAACGCTCAGCAATGCAAGCCTCCCTGCGGCCCCCGGGCCAGGCGGCAAGCGTTCAGGAGGGCTCCCTTCGGAGCAGATGAACTCACCTGGAAAGACCTGCCCCTCCGCTTTCTGCAACAGCTGCAGCAGCCAGACAATCGTGGCGATCCTGTTCATTCTTCCCCGGAGTTCACATGCCCTTCCCGCTGTAGCAGTGCAGCTGTATCTCGGCGTGCCTCCCAAATATCCCCTGCATTGGTATATCAGAGAGTTGGAGCTGTGTCTCGGAGCTGAAGCGGCTATCCTGATCTGATGAGTAGCACAAACTGATTGAAGACGGGAGAGGGAAAGCGGGGGGGGGGGAAGTGGGGGGAGAGACAGAGACGAGAAATTTCCCCTGAGTCCTAACGCCTGCCTGCTTCCCTCCCTTGCTCACACCCACTATCACTAACCAGACTTTTATTGACCTCAGCTAGTAAAACCCATTCTGCACTCCAGCTCGTGTTTGATGGAGGACAGCCCGCAGGGAAATCATGTAATTAAGAAGCTTTTGTACTCAAGAAGCAGTAAAAAATCTCGCAGGGAGCTGGGGTTAGGCATTTGCGAACACATACAGAATAGGAGGCACTAAACTATTTTCCTGAATTAAGGCTCTTTCTCAGCTTTGAATCCGTTCTGCTGCTCGGTGGAGTACACCAACCCACTCCTAGTGGGGTGGGGAGTGGGGGTGAAGTACAGCATGTTGCAGGCACACCTAGGTTGCCTATACACACACTGTTTCGGTGAAAAGGCAAAGTGCAAATGGTAAATGCAAAATAAGCAAAGAACTGAAATTGTGGCTAAGCCCAAGATCAGCACTGAGACAGAAAGTGAAGAAGCGACCCCCTGCTAGAATTAGAAGAGTGAGAAAAACTGCAGGTTTCAGGGGGTCCATTATTAGATCAGCTCTTATGAATAGCTTACAGGCATTTTCAGCTGAAAATAGTAATTTTCATCATTATTCACTTTACTTTGGAAGGAGTTAGCTTCTAAATACCTAATCACACCATGTACTGCTGCTACACAAGCAGGCTTTACACAGATGGCGCGCACGCGTGCGCGTGCGCACACACACACACACACACACACACTTAAAGCAGTGACTCTGATAAGAAGATTCTGCAAATTGGCTTTCCCAAGCTCCTTTCATTTTTATAAATGAAAAGAGAAAAGAGCAGGGTTTTATTTTCCTTCCTTTGCATCAAACAGTTTTTAAAAGCCTAAAAGACATTGATACTGATCTGTCATCTGAGCTTGGATTTGCAAAGCAATGACCAGCTCCCCCAGAATGAAGTGACTGTTTAATCAGCAACACAACAGGAATATTTTTTGTGAAGGAAACTTAACTTTCAAAAGAAACTTCAGTTCTGTTCTTTGGCAATCTCAGTGCATTTACTAAAGCACTTCAGGTTCAATGCACCACTATTTCCTCACTGATTCTAATAGTTCCCCTAATTATTAAACTTTGGCCCCATCCTTAGTATCCCCTTTCCTGACTTTACTCTCCCCATCCCTGTTTTCTCTTGATTCTCATGCTCTTTCTTGCATACAAAGGCAAGCAGCCAAAGGACTGTGCCCCTTCATTGACAACCAGTAGGGGGTAGTATTACATCAATAGTAA